TGGATTCCTGATGATCATGCTCGCTCCTTCCCGTCTCTCGCCTTGTTTTCCGACTCCACTACTTCTAGAAGATCCCCTTTTTCGGATGAATTCCTAGACAGCCATCTCATAGCGTCTTACAGCAAATTTGTCACACACACCATAGCTCTCATGCGAGAAAGATGACGACACTGGAAGAGGATGAGAGTTGGGTACGTACTTGAAGCTATCCACTGTTACTGAAGACACCTATGGCGCCCGCATGAGCGGCCAGTGGGAGGTCCGAATACGTGGTATAGTCTTAAGACAGCAGGGAAACTTACGACAGTATATAAAGTATGTGCCCGTCGTTTTCCACGTGCATTACCGGAATAACGTCGGTCGGAGGTGTGCATAATGTAGCTCGCATCGCCTGAGAGCCGCTACTAATACGCCTGGGTACCTTCCCCAGATCCTCCAGCAGCTTAGTTATTGACCGCATCCACAACATCGTCCACCCACACATAATGGTTCACGGCTCCATTGCGAACGCCAATGCGTAGGTCATGTATCCGTGCAGCCTGGAACAACAAGTAAGCTAATGATGCCGACCACCTCAGTGCGGAGCGCGTAGATTTCAGCTAGTGCCCCATGTTGGTTCCCCTGCACCATTAGGTAGCTATTGGGTACACGTACTTGACGATCGTCCATGGCAATGGGCGGAACCTCTAGCTCGGCATGTGCTCGCGGAACCTGCTCCGCCTCGTTCGCCCGTCCCTGTCAAGGTTAGAAGCAACACCATCACACTTATGCCCAACGACCCTAACTGCACACTACGCATCAGGTGACGTACGCTGATACGGTCTACGGGTCCCTGTTTTGGTGTTTCAGCTCTACGTCAACAGGAGCTGACAATACACAGTACGATTGATTTGCATCAGATCAGATCCGGATGATCAGCACTGGAACGACGTCCGAGCTCTGCGATTGGCAGGCACGTCGTGTGCGCGCCATCAAAAAGGTTTCAGCCTACTGCTACATAAATACACTATTCACAGGACATATGCGGCATACATCGTAGTATCACACTTGATGCCCTTGGACCTACCTAGGCACGGAGCCAATGGCGTAATACCAGCTCATCCGATGAGTGACGATGGGAGCAATACCCTCAGCTGCCAAGGTGATGACGTTAGCGCTAGGCGAGAAGACATTCCACCAGCAAACTACACAGTGCATGCATCAAGAAAGCGACGAGCAGACCAGCCTCTTTGCTAAATATCGGTCTCGCTGTTTCTTTGTAACTCATGGGTGTGAACACGGGAACAGAAGCGCACCTGGGCTTGAGGCATTTATGCCGTCCCTTGACGGCGTTGCATGCTAACAAAGTGCTTGCTAGCCCCGGTACTTCTCTACCGTGTTCAACCCCTACCCATCTACAGAATATCGGTGCGCGTTGATGCGGTCAAGCAAGGATCGGAAGCTGCAGATATATGCACACTCACGGCCAGTGCATCCAGATAAACTGTGAACTGGGCGATCGTCGGAGCCAATCGTTATGGGTGTCGCATTGAGCATAAAATGCAGGCGTTTGAATATGGCTTATATGAGTCTTTCACAGTTTATCTTCCGTACAAATCGACATGGTCGCAGTAATAGACGCGTGCATACCCAAGATCGACGGTCGGATGCGTTTGCGCTATACAGATAGCCGACCCATGGAGCATACTCTAAAGCACCAGTTCGGTGCGTACTGGAAATAGCATCATCGTCGCGATATATTAGATTTTCCTTCCGATCGGACCAGCGAGTGAAACGGCCTAGGTCTTCAGCGCAGTAGGAAGCCGAACCACTCGGATGCTAGCCTGTCGATCTGAATCGTCGCATCGAGTGAACTCGGAGCACCCCATGGGCTGCTACTGGTATCACTTCGAACAAACGCGGACGATTTCCCGGTCGCATGCAGGGTCTACACAATACTCATGTACACCTAAAACGAGCGGTAGATTGGCGAGCGCGATGCTGGGTCTAGAGCTAGGCTGAAGATTATATAAGCTGGTGAGTTATTACCCCATGCATGACGTTATTCCTGAGTAAACCCTCTCGAACGGAAGAGAAGATGGAGGGAATAGGCGGCTCGATCAGAACGGACGGTGGCCCCTACATCGCTAACCTACCTATGGTATCACGATGCCTGGGGACACTCGCGGCAACAGCGAGATCTACTGTTCCTACACTCGTGAATCAAGCCAAGAGTTTATACCGCATTTCTGACTGCATTTAAATATTAAAGGTCGCACGTCTCGGACAAACATCATGTTCTCTACGACTCAATCCATCAACTTCCTGTCACATGACATGTAGCTAGAGTATCGACAGCGTGGTACGTACGATTCGCGACAGCTACCTAGGTGTAGGCTTTGATAAAGGCCTAATAATCATACGGGATGCGCACTGATACTTCTAGGCCATTGTTAAACAATGTACTCGATCAGCTTTTCCAAATCCGAATACGTGAACATGTGTACTATTTATGAGTCTTCCCAAGAGAACTGTAGGTTTTACTTGCTCAATATTGCTTCTCCAGTACATCTATCATTTCGCAATGTCTTGAATCACTTCTTCAACTCGTACTCATCAAGATCCGAACAGTTCCACGCTTCCTACACAACATTGCAACCCGTACAAGAAGAGGACCAAGGAAATTCCAAGGTACACTTGTACCACTACTTCTTCCCAGACACTCAGGGGTTCGCACTTGGCCCCAGCCTGTCATGACTCAGCAACCTACGCAAACTCTTCACCTCCGTAGTCACATCGACACGCCAACCTCGCGCCCAAGAACGGTCGAGAGGGTCAGTAGACCCTAGCAACTTCAACGTCTTAGGCGGTACCGGGCAAATGTCTTATTCGAAAGCCTAGAAAGCCGTTGCGCAACGTTGCGGCTCCCTCCGCCTCTACTTGCCAAGCCAGATGGGGCCGCAACCGTCGTGGTTTACGATGACGACGACTCGGACATGAGATGGCAGTCGCCATGCTGGGGATTCCCGTCAGTGGGTGGATAATCGAACGGGAGATGGCATTTGCCATAAACGTCTCTCCATGACTTGCTGTACCGAAGATCCTTATTCCCTTTTCGTGTCGATCTCGCCTATAGTTTCTAGTGATGACATACAGACGGGGCGGCAGTACGGCCTCTTGACCCGTTCGGCTCGAGGAGGACTGCGTATATTCCTGCTCGCAATGCAATACGGGTACAAGACTACGAATAGAAGAGTATGCGAGTCGGTCATAACAAACAGAAAGCAATTGCACCACCACACACCTTTTGGAAGTCTATGTGTCTTGTGCGAGGTTGCCATATTGTCTCACTGTGGTGGACGCAGATGCGTTGATCATCATGGGGGAGGGGCGTAGGGCAATCGCAATGAAGCAGCCGAAGATCGCAATCCGCATCGCAGTTGGGCAGAGGAAGAAGGTTTACCCTTGGAAGACGCGCATTCGTGTCCATGGAGACTGATCAGCAAAGGACCCGCAGGCTAAGCGGTCAAAGCTTGTCCGGGTATGCACCGCCTCATGGCCCTGCGTGTCTTGCAAAAACCCGAAGGCTTGAGTGTGGCTCAAGACCATTCAGGAGAGGCTCTGCACCAAAGTGAAAGTTGGGGTAAATACGTGAGAATGTGAATTGAGGATAGGTATAGGAGACAATTCCCTGCAGACGCTGACAAACAAGCCGGGCGACTCGGGTTACAAGCAACCGAATCCGGGGTACAAAGACACGACACGCCAAGTAGGTCAAACTGTGCCGTCCCTCGTCGACATCAACTCTCAGCCGTGCTACCGTCGCAATACATGTAGTCATTCCACCTCGCAACTTCAGAGGCTTACTTCTGCATCATGAGCTGGACGAACTCGTTGTCTGGATTGTGTTAGAGCGACACGTGTGATGGCAGCAAACAGGACGTACAGTCAATTCGGCCGTCGCCGTCCTGGTCGGCCTCCCGGATCATCTCGTCAACCTCGTCATCGGTCAATTTCTCGCCGATAGAAGTCATGACGTGGCGCAGCTCGGCGGCGGAGATGAAGCCGTTGTTGTCGCGGTCGAAGACCTTGAAGGCCTCCCGGATCTCCTCCTCGGAGTCGGTGTCCTTCATCTTGCGGGCCATCATGGTCAGGAATTCTGCACGAGGTTAGAGCGGGGGTGTGGCAGAAGTGGGAGGGAGAGGTGCCTGGGAAGTCAATGGTGCCGTTGTTGTCGGCATCCACCTCGTTGATCATGTCCTGGAGCTCAGACTCGCTGGGATTTTGGCCGAGCGAGCGCATGACGGTGCCCAGCTCCTTGGTGGTGATTTGGCCTGTGAGGCATCATCGTCAGCGGGGTCAAACTCGGGTGTCTAGTGCGGAGTGCGGTTGCGTGGGCAGGAACGAGGGCGCTCCCAGGGGGGCAAGGTGTGGGTGGTGCAGGCGACGGAGAGTACTGACCATCGCCGTCCTTGTCCTGCATCGCAAGGTGGTTAGCTGGTGTTGGGTGGCAGGCAGGGCTGGGCGGCCACTTACAAACAGAGAGAAGGCCTCCTTGAACTCGGAGACCTGCTCCTCGGTGAGAGAATCGGCCTAGAGGGCAGTGTTAGCAATGCGCCGGGCTGGGGGCGGGCGTGCGGTCGTCGTGTTTTGCAGGGCGGGGTATGTGCGAGGGCGCGCGGGCGGGCGGGGCTACACACCATGTTGTCTCTGGGTGGTGGGTGGTGGGTGCGAGGGTGAAGGGTGCTGGGCTGCTGGGCGACGATGGGCTGGGGCGGTGGATAGAGCAGAGGCGCAGGTGTGGTGTGAAGGAGGGTCCCGTAGTGTTTGCGGCTGGGCAAGATGGGCTGGAGTGGAGCAGGCTGTCAGACGGCCGTCTGTTGGGGAGCTGGCCTAGCGTCGCCCAGAGCGGGAAGGCGGCTCCCTCGCCGGCGCACCGCACCTCAGCCGCCGACACGCCTGCGAAGCGGCCGTCACTCACAGTCTGGCCGTCCTCTCAGGCTGACCCTCGCCAGCCCAGCATGTGGCGGGACCGAACCAACCTCTTCATATCCTACCGCCAGTCCTACGCCCACCACCCCCAGCAGAAGACGCGCCATGCCCGCCCGCGCTCCAATGGCCCCGGCGACAGCACGCGCGTGTCCGAGGAGCGCCAGGGCCTCATGTCCAGCGGCGCCTACCACGACGACGGCGACGCCGTGATTGAGATGGACCTGCTGCCTCCGCGCTGGCTCGACGTGCAGGACGAAATCACCCAGCACCTCGCCGACATCGCCACGCAGACACGCAAGCTCGACCAGCTGCACCAGAAGCACGTGCTGCCTGGCTTCGACGACGAAGACGTCAAGAGGCGCGAGGAGCGCGACATTGAGCATCTCACCCAGGCCATCACGCGCCTCTTCCAAAAGTGCCAGCAAGCCCTCAAGCGCATCGACGCCATGGTCCGCGACGCAAAACAGCAGGGCAGCATCGCCCAGGGCGAAGACGTCATGGCCCAGAACCTCAAAATCGCACTGGCAACCCGCGTCGGCCATGTCAGTGCCATGTTCCGCAAGAAGCAGGCTGCCTACCTCAAGAGTGAGACAACCCCCGCCTCGCAGCCCTGGCTATGCTAACAGTCTGTCGAGAACTACGCGACCTTGGCGGCTTCACCTCGCCCTTCCGCGTTGCAACACCCGTCCAAAACCCCTACAACGACCCTGCCTTGCAAGAGTCGGACGCCGATCGCTCCTTCTCCCAGTCCACTCTCCTCCAGACAAAGCAACAGCGCATGCGCCACGACCCCAATCAAGCAATCGTTGCTCAGCGCGAGCGCGAAATCGAAGACATCGCCCAAGGCATCATCGAGCTAGCAAACATCTTCCAAGAGCTGCAGACCATGGTCATCGATCAGGGCAGCATGCTCGATCGCATAGATTACAATGTAGAGAACATGTCGCGAGACGTCAAAGAAGCCGACAAGGAGCTCAACGTCGCCTCTGGATACCAGAAGCGCACCATCAAGAGGAAGATTATGCTACTGCTAGCCATCTTGATCGCAGCTGTTTTCATACTACTGTCGCTCAAATTGGGCAGGAAAGGAGCAAATAATACGCCCGCCGCTCCACAAGTACCTGACGTTCCGCCCGCCATGGCCATGGCAATGGGATACAGACGACAATCAACAAGCACGCGCACAAGTCGCATATGGCATCGCAGGAGGCGGCGCTTGTGGCAGGGGACGAGAAGCGACCCACTAGATAAATACATGTCAAGCTGAGCTCTCCCATATACTATTTCCAATCATCTTCTCACTTCACATCAGACTACACGCTCAACAGCTACCTCTACTTCCAAGTAATCAGGCATCAGATTTGCTGCAGGATAGAGTGCAGCGGTGGGCGAGGGCGGCGTAAGCATCGCTATCGGGGTGGCGCAGGCGGGTGCAACGGTGAGCCCCACAGCTGCATGGGCGTTGGGTCAGAACCAGACTGCGGTTTAGGCACCACCATGTCAGACTGCACAATGCAAGGCCCCATAGTCTCAGAACTCAAAAGTGTAAGTCGCGTAGATTCAACTCGGTGCGTGTTGCGAGAGTGGACGTAAATAGCCAATAATGGTGGTACCTCGGCTCGGTTGCTCTTCTACGCCAAGGTCGTGAATTCAACTCGTGCTATTAAACGTGCATTCCTAAGAAGGACTTTTATGTCATTACCAATTAACGTCTCTGTGTTCTCTGGCTCAGCTGATGAAGCAACCTGCTCGCTCTATGGCCGTATCATTACTAGCAAATCGTACGTGAATTACGAGGAAGCGTGTTCTTTCGAGGCTGTGTTTCGAAGACCTGCTCTAGAGAAGGTCGTCGCGTCGTTGACAATTAGCTAACAAGACGCAATGTAGTATACATCTCTGCCTAGGTGTCTATATACCTCATCATACCAGCTTCCTTGTTCACACGCAGCAATGGAGCCATCAAGCTCTCCACCCGTTGCAGACATGGTAACACCGCTATCCGATTTTCAAAAGATAGGTCACAACACATATCTCTGGACATCATCATCATACCTATCCCAACTCGCAGAGCAAACTCCACTCATCCTACTCTTCACTTGGAACGCTGCGGCCGCAAAGCACATCGCCAAATACACACTTGCCTACCAGAAGCTTTTCCCAACATCCCGCATCCTGCTGGTACGATGCTTCACCCCAGACATGTTCCGCCGTACCTCGTCCTACGCCACTTTGCTCGAGCCAACAACAGATCTTGTAGCCGAACATACCGCTTCAGGAGGACGCATCCTTGTCCATAGTTTCTCAAACGGCGGCGGGAATCAAGTCAATGAATTTGCAAAAGCATGGAAGAAGAAGTATGGAACAGTGCTACCAATGCAAGCACAGATTCTCGATTCCAGTCCGACCAAAGGCCCGTGGATGCAGAGCCATGCAGCCATTTCCGCGTCCCTTCCCAGAAACACGTTTTGGGGTTGGTTTGGTGGGGCGCTGGTTCATCTTCTCCTTGTCCTCACATTTATTGCAGACAAGACTACGGGAAGGGAGAATATGATGGTAGTTCTCTGCCGAGAACTGAACGATGAATCGGTGTTTGATACCAATGTACCGCGTCTGTATTTGTATAGTCGTTCGGATACGATGGTTCGGTTTGAGGAGGCAGATGAGCACGCTGATCTTGCCAAGGCAAAGGGATGGGATGTCACAAAGGTGCAGTTTGAGAAAAGTCCGCACTGTGGTCATATCAGGGAGGACGAGAACAAATATTGGGCAGCGGTTATGGAAGCTTGGAAGAAGGGGCCGAGGAGTGGTAACATGTCTACTTGATCTAGATACCAGCGTAACGCAGTCCTCATCTTCCTTGTGTTTATTCTAAGCGGAATCTGGTATGTTGCGTCTTGGTACGTCTACAATCGAGCTGCCACCAGACTCAGATATATGTTCCACAGTAAACCGCAGAAGCTGAGGAAGACAATACGACGCTCGACAGGGATGAAGGTGGTGCTAAAGAAGTTGGCAATCGGCCAGACCTTGTACGAATCGAAGATGAGACCGAAGAGCTCCTGTTTTAAGTATTAGCACTGCACACAGCAGCCCTTCGGCAGAGGGCCTACTTACGTTTCTGAAGTCCTGCCCAATCATCGCAACTGTCTTGCCCTTCATGAGACCAATCAGAATCAGGAACATTGACTGGTTCAGTAGCGCGCCCATGGTTATGCACTGTATCTCGCGAGTAAGCTTTAATCCGTCACCACAATTGGAGCATAGGCCACTCACGTCCGTAAACCACTTCTTGAAGATATTCCACCAGTTCCTCACTCTAACCTCTTCTTCCACAATGCCCTTTCCTTCTCCATCACCTCTCAGCATTATGCCCTTCTCCTCTTCACCTTCGCCTACAGCCCTTGTTTGCTTGACGGTCTTCCAGCCCGGAAACGCGCGCTCGAGCCAATTCTGCCAGTGGTAGTTGATGGGCGCGGTGAGTACGACCATGATGGCGAACTGGGTAAAGAGGACGCGGTCGAAGACGAAGGGCTTAGATTCGTTCCATGCTTTCAAGCGTTGCGCGATGACGTTGCTGCATGAGTCTATGGCGAGAGCGGAAAGACAGGCTACCGCGATGGGAGGTAGCTTCATCGTGACGAAGAAGGTATCTTGGAACGCGAGGAAAGCCGGCGGAGAGTCGCTGTCTAGGTAGTTGATGAGGATGGTGGGGATCAGGTCGCAGGACCGATTGCGAGATGCAGATCAGCGAGGCTAAGTAAGCATCGCAGTACGCGGGCGTTTCGGCGAGGCGGTCACGGACGGTTTCGTAGCAGGGTGGTTGTAGTGGTGGAAAGCCAACAAAAGTCAATCGGAGTGCGGCATGGCCATCTGCTTCGGCTGCGCCGTTGCAATGCCACTCCACATTGGTTGGTGTTGCTACCTACTGCGCTTGTCGGGGCATTGGCGCTTGAATCAGACGGTGGCTTGATACGCGTCACAAATGACTCGGCAGCACGCTTATCGCTCTCTCAGCCTTTACGAGGCCTTTGCCGCGGTTTTGTCACTTACTTAACTTCTCGATTTCCTGGTAGGAGAGGACCTGGAGCTTCATACCTCCCAATATTAAGCCGCGCACGAGTGGCCGAGTTATGGCAGCAGCCCACGGAGCCCTGGACAGGCTGCTTCTTGAGAAATCTTGGTGGCGTACACGCTGCACACCTATGACAACGCTCGGCCGAACAGGAGGCACATGAAATCTGCAGAGATCGTAAATGAGGTAGGACAACATAAGCCAACAGTTTTGGAATAAGGAGCCGAGATGAATTGGAATACCTAACACATCTCGCCTTTTACGCTTGATAGGTTAAGCAAATACCAGACATTAACGAGTTCATGATCGCATCCAGCGTAGCCTCATGCAGTCCCTGAATCTATTGCAATCTCTAAAGCAATGGGCCGTTATGAATTACAGGCTGTGATAGACCATATTGTGTATGGGGTGACAACAAGCTGTTGATGTGTAATTGAGTCTGTATCTACACCAATGCCCCGCAAAAAAATCGCAATGTGAGAGAATACACTCCAGGCTAAAAGCTTGTCTTGTCCAATAAATTAAAAGAAGAGTTAACAGATAGAGCGAACTATGCAGAGAGCTACTTGCAAGCACAACCTGTTGCATGTATACCTTCTTGACTCGAATCTTGGCGTAAGTAGCCAGGGTTCAACAATAGTTTGTATATAGATCGCAAGGGGAAGACCTGAAATGTATGAATAAAGTAGAAGACATCAAGTCTGTTCAAGAACCCAAATCACATGCAATTTAGGCTTCCAAGCAGTAACTAAATAGCCACGTGTCAGAGCAAGAACGCGATTGCGTAGAATCCAAATAGTACTCCGAAACCGAAACTCTTTTCAACCCGCAACGTAATCTCATATTACTCTACTGTTTCTTTTTCTTCTCGTTTCTGTTGGTGTTCACTCGTGGCACTCCCCGGCTCGAACCGTGCGCATGGAACAAGCCGACCAAACTCCGTTTAAATCCACCAACGATGACATAGCGCTATACATCATCATTGCTCAGATAACGTCACCGCATAACCAGCTCACCAGTTAACATGCTAAACAGATCTGTAGTCACGTTCGAAAACAAAGCGTAATGTGGGGTTCGATCTGTGTGCATGAACTGGAGATCTACCGAGGCTCAGTAATCGAAGGTGGGTAGACGGCATCGGCGAGCGTGTTGCGCCGTCGTACACCGGTGCTGTCTCTTCTTTCGTTAGTTAGGTACAAACCATCGTTTTTGCCTCACATCTGTGTCTGTACTCTGCTCCCAAGAAACGATATCTTTCAAGAATTACCACCATCATGTCAAACAAAGCAGCATGGATCCCAGAAGCAAAGGGCCAGCTCCAGGTCAAGGAAGCTCCCATGCCAAAGGCAGGCAAGGGCGAGGTTGTTATTAAGAACCACGCCGTTGCCGTTAACCCCGTAGATTGTGAGTATCTGCATTTTCTAGTAGGAATGAGTTTGCTAATTAGAGCAGGGAAAATCCAGGACTACGGCATCTTCCTGCAAAAGTATCCCAACGTCTGTGGTACTGACGTCGCTGGTGAGGTGCACGAAGTTGGCGAGGGCGTTACACACGTTACCAAGGGCGACCGGGTGCTAGGGTTCGTCTTCCGCCTTCAACCTTGAGAGCTTCCGCGGGGCTGTGAACTAACAGCATGGTACAGACACGCGTTCTCACTCGTGACTAACGACCCCGCGCACGGTGGATTTCAGCTCTACACTGCTTGCAACGCGCTCGTCGTATCGAAGATTCCATCGCACATGACGTTCGCCGAGGCCTCGGTGCTACCTCTTGCCGTCTCCACTGCCGCCGCATGCCTCTTCAAGAAGGAGACCCTCGCGTTACCCTTGCCATCCTCCAACCCCTCTTCTACGGGCAAATCAGTGTTGGTATGGGGCGGCTCGAGCAGCGTTGGAGCGACTGCAATTCAGCTAGCCGCGGGTGCCGGTGTAAAGGTCGTCAGCGTAGCGAGCAAGCACAACCTAGAGAAGCTCAAAGGCCTGGGCGCAACAGCAGCCTTTGACTACAAGGACCCCAAGGTCGCCCACGACATCATCGCTGCTCTCGAAGGCACGGAATTCGCGGGTGTTTGTGACGCCATTGGTACACCGGATGCTGCGGCTGCCTGGGCACCAGTATACGAGAAGCTCGGTGGACGTTATGGCTCTGTGCTGCCTGATGCAGAGGGCCTTCCAAAAGGTATCGAGGGCACAAGCGTCTTCGGTCCAAGTGTAGCGCTGGCGGACAAGTACGTCGGTGACGTTGTCTGGGCTCGGTGGGTGCCAGAGGCGCTGGAAAGGGGTACACTAAAAGCTGTGTAAGTATCTATGTACCAAGTGCGTGTGAGGCATACACTGACTTCGTGCACGTACCTTTAGCCCAGAACCACTGGTAGTTGGAAAGGGACTCGACGCTGTGGCGGAGGGCTACAAGAAGCAGAAGGAGGGTGTCAGCTTTCGCAAGGTTGTGATTGAGTTGTGAGCCCTATCGGAACACTAGCCCACACAACGAACATGTGATAACAACATGTCGAAACTGACGCGGGGCATAGCTCTGAGTGATTGTGTCCAGGCAGTTCCTCTAGAAGCCACGTCCGGCATTACAAGCACATGCATGCGCTGAACATCAACAAGTTTCTGCGGCCCCGGCGAAACATAACCCCGGTCGGGTCCACTTAAAAGTTTTTAGCTTCCTGCACTCTGCTTCAGTTCACGTGCTTCTTGTTCTTCTTCTTCTGCAGCTGCAAGCGTATCCAGCGCTCGCCCCTGTGTCGCATGCTCATTGACACCAGTTTCTCTGCTTTGAGCACTTGCTCTTGTAAGTACTACTGCTCTCCCAACTTCCCATCCCTGCACCATGATGAAAAGCATTCCACATTCGCAGTTTCCACGCTAGCCATCAATCGAACCTACTTTAGATGGTCAATGAGCGCGAATACCTTCCTTGGATGTCTGATTTGCATTTCAACCTCACATTACACTTCTGCTTGTTTTCGACAGCTTTCGCTGACTCTTAACAGGCCACCTAGACTCCGCCATCGTTTAGCATTCATGCTGCTATGACCAACGTGTATGCAGCTCTGTACGTTACCCAATTAGCAGTGCTCACTACACGATCGTACATAGTTGGAGTTTTGACTAGTTCATTCAATACTCATATACAATTAACACCAAGAATACCTATACTTTGCCACTTTCTCTTGATGGTGTTCCACCATACTAATGCACATTGTCTGCCAGAGCTTCGTTCCATCTTTGCTGGGGTATAACAGTTGCTTCGCACTACAAGCTCGATCGCTTAGAGCATGAAGAAGGTGAACAGACCCGTCATACCCGCGAACACAGCGCTGCCAGCGAGATGGGACGCAGCACCTGTTGCTGAAGAAGGTGAAGGTGACTCGGATGTTGAAGTACCGTTTTCGTTGAGCTTACCACCAGTGCCGGCGGTTGATGTAGGCGATACGTTTTCGGTGGCCTTCTCAGAAGCGTTCTTGAATGCATCAAGAGTGTTGGGACCAGACGCCCTAGACAATGTCAGTGAAAGCAAGCGACTACAAGATAAGCGGAAAACTTACGGGGGGTTGATAACACCGACCATGCCATTCTGGCAATGCATGCCCTGAGAGCAGTAAAACCAGACGGGAGCTGAAGCATTCTTGACCTCATAGGTGAAGGTTGTGCTGGCGACGCTCTCCATATCAGATGTCGGAACAAAACCGGAGAAGAAGCCACCGTCCATAGGCTTTAAATTTGGACGTACGAAGTCAGTGTATGTCCCACACGCAGTTCGTATATGGAGGATCTTACCTGGCAAGGGTTGGCGAAGGTAGCCTGAGCGACGGAGTGGTTCTTGGGCCAGAACGAGAAGGTGACAGTGTCGCCCTCAGCGGCCTTGAGGCTGTCTGGCTTGAAGACAAGATCGCCAGCCTTGTTACCGACAATGACCTTGTGATCCATTGCGAAGGTAGCGCTGGCCATGGCCGAAGCAGCGAAGATGGTTGAGAAATGCATTATGGTTTGTTTGTTGGTAAAGAGACTAGCTCGTTTGGGAATTAAGAAAATGCGGGTAGAAACGAAGGTTGTCTTGGTGTGTAATTGGTAGTGAGAAGAGAAGAACGTGGACCTGCCTGCCGAGCCAAATGAGCACATTTGCGTCCATTATATAGTATATAGAGAAACAGTTGCCGCCTGTTGAGCGGATCAATCGGTATACGCATGCCATGCCATAACACCTTCGAGACTTCAGGCGTCGCGAAGGCACGCTTTCTTGACGCCTGAACGCTTGAAGCGAGATCTGGGGAAACAGGGCGGTCAACGTGTCACAATGCAGAGGTCTGCTACTGGCTATGTTTGCCATGGGCGCCTGTATTGAGCCACTTGCCGCTCGGGTATGGCTGTTTCGAGCCTGAGGCCGATCCTGTGGCTGTCCAGGAGCTAAGACCAGACCCTTATTTCCATGGCAAATGCGTTTCTGGCCAAGGGATGAAACTCGCTGTTGGTCGTTGATGGAACGCGAGATGTTTTGGAGAGCGTGCACGGAAGTCGTGCGCTATTTCCGCCCTGTCATCTCACCCGTGACATGCGTGGATCCATAGCGACTGCCGTGACAGTGGACACCTACCATCGCGATATCTGGAGCGTAGGTAGCTAACAAGCCGTTGGCTCCGCTTTGAGAAATTCTCCGTCACCCGAAAGACTAGCGCAACAAGCAACAACGTCAACAGCTTCCAGTGCTGCACTCGGCGCTGCCACACATTTTCCGAACGGCCAGATCTCATGACATACCACCGAGTTTCCTCGGCACCTTCCTCCGTTGCGCAAAGCGTGGCGACCGTTCCAAGGCTCTATCTGCACGTGGTTGCTTCGTGCCTTCGGAAGTCAAAGCGTCCACGGGCCTGGTATACCGAATGAACCGACGCTTTGTTCCGCGGCTGTGTTCCAAGGTCAAGGCTCCGCTCTCACGAGATCGCAGCTCCCAGGGAGAACATTCTGGTCGAACTTCAATCGGAAAACGCTACGGTTGTATCTCGTGTCGTGAATGCCGAAATGGGGGTCTGCATGGGCGGTGAATCGACGCTTCCAAGGTTCATCTGCTGACCAAGGTAATCGTTGCTGGTGTGAGCGCTACCCTAACGGACAGCTAACTCGACGACGTCCTCCCCTGAGCAACAACAATTACTGCATCGTGTGTGACGCTCTGACGGTGGTAGTCAGATTCCGTGTTCGTCGACGTGGCTTTGGCTGCCGCCACTTCCGAGACTATACGTGCGTCGCCTTCAGACCCCGTCCGGTCACGACATCATACCTAAATCTCGTGAGATGTATCGTGCACGCGTGCCGGTGGGGTGCAGCATCGTTTTATTGATCGCTGTCCGTGGCTACTTATTATGGCACATTGAATGCAACCATCCGTATCTCCGGGCCTTTTCCTCGTCTACTGGACCGTTTATAGCTAGTGAAAGCCTCTCCCGCTGCTAGCGTGCCAAAAATATCGCAACTCTCCGCATTAATTCTCGTGTCTTTTGGCGCTATAAGCTTATCTGTGCTAACCTACACCAAACGCCGCTATTCCATGGTCATCTGCTTTGACCGCTGAAGCTAGTGCTGTCGAAATAGTAAGTCATTCCGGGATGTCGCTCGCGTTCGCGCTTGGGCACCCTGTAAAGATTGCCATTGTGACGAAAGACGAGGTGGAAGCCTCGGATCGTAGAGTGGAGGCTTCGACATGGCGGATGGTATAAATGGCAATGTACTCGCAACTGCAAGACACGCATCATCAGTAACCAGCCCTCCGACTTCCAAACCTCCATTCTCCAAGCCTCTACCCATCTACCAACAAATCATGCAGTTCTCCAGCATCACCTCAGCGGCAATCCTTGGTTTTGCCAGTCTGGCTTCGGCCATCACTGTCAGCTACGATACTGGCTACGATGACGGCAGCCGCTCCTTGACCTCGCTCGCCTGCTCGGACGGCTCCAACGGCCTCATCACAAAGTACAACTGGCAAACTCAAGCCAACGTTGCTGGTTTCCCTAAAATCGGTGGATATATGGGTGTTGCTGGATGGAACAGCCCACAGGTACGTACACTTACTACATTTCCTCATCTTCATTGTCTAACAATACATACTAGTGTGGTACATGCTACGGCGTTACCTACAACGGAAAGACCATCTACGTTCTCGCCGTCGACCATGCTGCTCAAGGCTTCAACCTCGCCAAGGCAGCCATGGACGAGCTTACAAACGGCCAGGCTGCGGCTCTGGGACGTATCGATGCCCAGTACGCTCAGGTCGCTACTAGTAACTGCGGGTTATAAGCACTGCGCTCTGCTACAAACGATGATGATTGGAGAGGGAGGATCACGAGAAACATCCGATAATGTGTATTTACAGGATTCCGGATGAGGTATTGCATAGCATAGCGTTCCTTATTTGCATGCGGTGGCGTTTGTACATACATTCCTTACTTAATTCATAGTCCATATAGGATGCAGGTCTGCTTGCCATAAAGAGAGGCGTTATTTATCTGTTGATGTAAATGTCTACCATTGCCGGCCTTAATGACGCCAGAGTCCACAAAGTCTTCACACTTTTTGTGAGCTTCTTGATCATCCTCCCCCCTCCCCTTCACTGTGCGAGTCGCAGCCATGCAGCTGCGGGGTAGGATAAGCACAAGTTTACTCTTTTCGGCATAGCTCTTGTGAATAGTAAGTATTCAGGAGATTCTACACCTTCGCTGATGACTAACCTTTGTATACGCTCTCCTCTTCTATGTTGCGTGTATACCTAGTCGTGATCGACAAATTACAAGACCGTTGCGTATATGGAAAGTATGAGATGACGAGGAGATTGCAGGGGTGTGGAAAGTTCGGATAAGGAGATGCAACAAATGTTTGAGGTTGTTGAGAAGGCTATGGAAGGCTGGTCGTTATTACGCTTTCGGTGGACACTGGTAGAGGGGAGTTACCAGATTCGCCGGCTTTGTTATCCCAATTTCTTCTTCTCGGATATGTAGCCTTCTTAATGAAAGGCTGCAGTGATGGTGGCGGGCAATGCTAGCCTACATTGCGGAGACGGTTGCATAGATTGAATGTGCGTGACATTGGCACTGACATCTATTCATTGTTTCTATCTACTTACATGCATCCTAATTTCTCCATGAGATCTAAAGGCTTGTTGGTATATCGCTATTCGCAAAGGAGGGCCATCTACGCGATGACCAAAAGACTTTTGTTGTGGAAACGAAATGTACATGTCCCAAGAGTATCGAGGCTACGCCCGCATAGCCAAGCGCTCGTGGCCTGCTATTAGAAAAGGTTGTGTTAAAAAACCCGAGGGGCGATTTGTGATCAAGCGTCCTCGAGACAGCACTTGTTTAACGAGGTGTTGAAGCAAGTAATCGACCAAGACTGCCACTAGCGAATGATGGCTCAGGAACTGGTGACTTGGCGTAGAAGATCTCGCCTTCAATTGTACTAGCAGACGTCCTTGATATGGAAGCCGCCGATTTGTGCGAATAGGACTTTGGACTCGATGGAGCCGTCACTGGGGTAACGAGGTCAATTGATTTGGCTCCGTAAGACCCACTATGCGACGGCTTAGTCCTGGGTGGAAGAGGTCGCGTAGTGGCGGGCGTGTATGGCAGCGAGTAGCTCACTGACGAGGCTGGGGTGTGTGACAGCGAGGGGGCGGCGCTAAAGCTGATTTGTGAAGTAGAGCTACGGCTGTAGCGCGGTCGAACGGTATCGGGGAAGTAGGCAGGCGATTGGAATTTGCGGAGATATTTTGATGCCTCCGAGTCGAAACGCTGACACCGGTCGACGCTGTTATCGTCTGACGAGATGTCGGAGAAGGCACATGACGAGCGTTTTGACTCAGGCTGAGTGGGGGAGCGCTGAGGTACAATGTCGCGAAAGGCAAACTCGTCGAACGTGAAGTTGGCAAATGGCGTAGTTGGCGGTGAGTAATGATCGTATGAATAGGTAAGGCTCTTCTCGGTGTCCTTTTTCTTGCAGCTACGTGTGCATGTCAGTAGGTGGCCTGTGCATCATAGAGTGGGTGTGGGCCATACCTTTCCGAGCAATAGAGCACAGAGTTACTGGGAACAATAATTTGCTTCTCGCAGACGGTGCTGCAACACAAGATTAGTGCGCAGTCGCGAGGACTCGGATGACGACAACATACCAGTAGTTCAAAAAACTCACGGCCATTGAGTCCTCGTCCTCGTCGGATGCAGTCTCTTTGTAATGAACGGCTTTGGAGGCGGCTTTGGTGCCGTGGGACTGGGTCCGCTTTGACAGAGGCCTAGAGGGCCGTGCGTGCGCTGGCTGCGACTTTTTGGATTGATGAGACGGGTGACGAACGTGATGTGTGGCCATGATGGATGCAGAAGAACTTTAAAAGCCTCACTGTGGTAATCGCGCACGGTGCACGGTGCACGATGTCGTTACAGGGCTGGAAGTAGGGCAGCAAAGAAGCGGTGACACAGGCCGCCGAGTACCAGCTGCTGATATGACGGAAGGTTCGTGCGTGGCTTTGTTTAGGATCCTTATCGCTTGGGTTCTGCGCCAACGTCTTAGCCAGGAACACGATAGTGCGTGTCTAGATCGTGACGATGTACAAGAAGGGGCCTTGATCGATCGACGAGGTTGAGAGGCGACACCAAGAAGCCAGGAGAACGAGCTTACTTCAACAGACACGGGACGTGCGACGTCGGAAGGAAGGAAGGAAGGATAGAGTGCAGTATAGTTCCGGGAACGATGCGCGGGTTGGGCTGGGCTGGGGTGCGCGGCGATAAGCAGCAGTTCGTGAGAGACAGCAAAGCCGAGTATTTCCACGGGGCAGGCGGCTTTCAGCGGCAGGATAACAAGCTATGTATCCGAGATCGATAGCAAGAGGAGTGCGGGATTGCGGTCAATAAGTAATTACGAGACCGGCGCCTGCGAGTACCTGAGGGCAGTTCTAGAACATGGTTGACGACGACGGCCTAGATATGCGGTCGGGATATGGTTGCGCGTGTGGGGATGATTCGTGATAGCCATCACGATGGAGCCATTGAGATCATCTAGCACGCCATAGCGGCACCCGCTGCCCGCTGACTCCTCCCTACTACCCCCCACTCGCATCCACCACGGTGCCTTGCTACAACTCAATCTTTGCCGGTGTAGCCACGGCGGGGAAGCCTGGCCAGAGTGCATCCTTTCGCCGTTGCAGCGCTGTGCATGGAAACGTCGCAGCCGTCGTGTTGCAGCGAATTGCGGGCCGAGCATGCACACGGGAAGACCACCAAAGGTCCACGTTCTTGTGCAACTCGGTGCGACTCGCAGCGGGCACCATCACTACACACCACTGCCCACTCGGGTGCGAGCTCTCTCAACACAATGAAGCCATATTGCGTATCTATCACAGCCTTCCGTTCGGTAACAGGGCGCGGCTCCTCTTTCGCAATCGACTCACCACGCCTTAGTCGGGCTTTGAACAGCTTTTTTCGCGGCTTCATCCAGCTCACCAGTCGGCTTGCGAGCCGCTATACATAGAGTGTGTTCCTTGCCGATAATTCGCATCTCTGAAGCACTCCGGTTGAGTGACTTTTGACTGTGCATAACTAGATGCGGGTCCATTGTCTACTCGCGTAACTCTATCCTAGCGGCCGCGCAACAAAACAGCCAACCGGGTCTTCAGAAGGGCCTTCACCGTCTCGAACATGGTGAATCACCAGAAAATCTCTTAGGCTTCAAAATACACACCTTTCTTTATGCTGCAGTCCGCCACCATCAGCGTCTATGTACCTTCATATGTCGGTCAAGAGTTTTCTCTCTCGACACCTTGGTCTCAAACAGAAAACGGATCGTCCATGTATCGCCCTCTAGTGACACGCCACAGTTGGATCGGGGTCGAAGTTGGATAAAACGGCCCTTTCTGTTGGTGTTCAGGCACCGGTGGGCAATCAACCTGCTCGAAGCTGAAACGGTTCCGCCCTACCCCACAAAAGTCAGCAACAACTCGCCCGATGTCGTAACATGGCCAGGAAAACAAGACGTGGAGAGACCCACTACACGCGTTCAGAAAGGTCTCGAACGTTTCTTCGTTGCGAATCGTCGCAGATATCAGAGCTTCGAGCGCTGGGTTCAAGTAGAAGAATTCTCCCAGAGTCGAGACCAATCGCGGAATGACGGACTTGTCGTATGTCTGCGACGTTGTCAGATCCACTTCTCCACGAGACTGCAATGACGATGACTTACGACGTCTGCTCCCACTACAACATCTGGTACGCTCATGCCATAGTCTTCGGGAAAGGTCGCTGCGTCAATGGGATGGCCCCACCTCAGCGCGGCTGTCCGCACTTGAATCCGGGACGTGTCATCGACATCAAGTCCGTTGAGAAAAAGATTTGTTCTGATGGCATCGACAACAGCCTCGTCGCCATCTGTGGCAACCACGCCGGTCGCCCCCAAGTGCTTCGCGCAAAGAATGGACAGCATTCCAGTTCCTGCGCCAAGTTCAAACAATCTCTTCCCGGATACAAACGGTCGGCCAGCCTCGGACGCGAGATGCGACCCGAGTAGCAAGGCGGCTTCCCAAGTTCTGAGACCAGTCGTTCCAGACGAGGAGATGACGGATCGCGCTTCAAGTAGCGTTACCGTACGTTCGTGCGTTACGCTATCATCGATTGAATGATGGGGGTAAGAGTACGTCACGAATGCTTTTTGCTGAGCTGCATCGGCTTCGGAGGGCAGATCAGCAACAAGCAGAATAGTCATCGCTTCCATAATGTCATCTGAGATTTCCTATAATTGGGACGAAGAGAAAGGTCAGCAAGTGCTGCATGAAATCTTTGCGATTGCAAGATGATTATTATGACTTGATAGATGGCTGGCTACAGCGAAGGCAAAGCCATGGTGAGGAGATAGGAGACCATACATCCTCCTCCGGGTCGGTGATCGACCTCTCGAGTTTTGCGACAAGTTGTTTGAGAATCCTCAACCGATAGCGGTCCGGGGGTAGTGATGTGATATTGGCTGCATCGAACAGATTGTGGAAGAGCCACACTTGTACGTTTGGCGCTTTTAGTATCGCATCATCTGGCCATCTTAATTGGTGTGGTTCGACCAGCTGGAAATACTGGCGTTGCAAGATAAGTAGCTGCGGTAGGTTGGATGGAGCGTCCATGGAAGCGACAATAGTTTTTGTTCGGCACGTAAGCTAGAACATTTCAATGTGTCTCAGCCTCCCTAGTCGTGCAGCCTAGCTGTATGTTCTGATTTTGACGAGGGGAAAGAACATCCAAGCACGCATCTGCTTACGTAACTTTGTAGCGGGGCGCCTTGGCAGACTAAGCGAGGCGCACTGCCGACCGCCGACACGACGCAGCAAATTCGACATCTCCATCTTGCCGCCAGCTAACCACAGGTAATCGACAACAGCAAGATCGATCTCTGTCCAGTACGTCCATTGCAGACCCAAGCCCGCCCTATTGTACTTGTGACTCACGGCTAATTGTCGTGTTGCAGGTCGAATCCTTCCAACATGGCCGACTCTCAAGTTACTCTGCGCACGCGCAAGTTCATCCGCAACCCTCTCCTCGGACGTCGTCAGATGGTCGTGTAAGTGCAGGAAACACCGAGCACACAGTTGCGGGGGATTGAGTCTGACGGGAATACTACAGCGATGTCCTTCACCCCAACCGCGCAAACGTTTCCAAGGACGAACTCCGTGGCAAGCTCGGTGAGCTGTACAAGGCCAAGAAGGACGATGTCTCCGTATTCGGTTTCAAGACACACTTTGGTGGCGGCAAGAGCACCGGCTTCGCTCTTATCTATGACAGCGCCGAAGCCATGAAAAAGTTCGAGCCCCGCTACAGGCTAGTACGCTACGGCATGGCCACCAAGGTCGAGAAGGCCAGCAGGCAGCAGCGTACGTCTTCCCTGCGTCTATGCATGGTGTCGCAATTATGGCGATGGATCTGCATGTCGATACATGACACATACTGACTGGACAACAGGCAAGCAGCGCAAGAACAGGATGAAGGAGTTCCGGGGCACAGCCAAGTCCAAGGGCGGTGCGAAGAAGGACAAGAAATAAGCGGGTGCACACTGATGATGACTACGAAGGTCATGGCTGGAGTCGAGTGGCGGTTTCTCTACAACTACTGGTTCGCCTGGTTCTTCCTCACGGTGGATACGGAGTTGCTTCTGCGGGCATCGGCATGTATATCTACGAGCGCCTGGAAAACTCTTGCGGATGGGAACGACAAGACGGATGGCGTTTGAGATCAATTGTCTGCTAACCATCAATGCATATCATGGACTTTACGATCCCCCAACTATTTTGCCACTCACCCGATTTCCACATGGTTTACCCCGGCCACTGCCAATCCTATGTGTCTACGAACGGATACAGATGACCTCTTTGAGACTATCAAACCTGTGTCATGACTTGCGGCCATGAACAGATGACGTTACTCTATATCTTGCACAGTCACTAGCCACCAGTCAGACCGTCGTCCTCGCTGCCTGCGCATCACCCGTCCTGTTTGATCCAATCCTCGCAGAGCAACCATGTTTATCCCTGGCCTTCCTCTACCCCTTACCCCTAATGCCTTCCGTACTCATGATCGCTGTCGCGTTTCCTTCCAAGTCCTTATCCCTGTCCTTTTCCAAACCCTCAAATCCATGAGCAGCATACTATCCAACGTTCGAAGCGACCTGTGTCCCTGAATCTTGTTGTCGAGTTCGCAATTGTTGAAGCCGTGTAGAAGAGCAAGAAGGCCTGATTGGGGGATCCGTGGACAAGTAGGTTTTTTGCGATGTAACAGTAACAGAACACATTGACTAGAAGCAGGGTGTAAATGGTTAGCGTAACAAGGGGGAAGAGATTACGGCTGCTGGAGCTCTCTTATGTAGAATTGCGTTGAGCTCTATTTCACAGTATCGTCCATGGAGCTATCTTGTCGTATAAAACCACCCTGGCAGCTGGCATTCTCATGCTCAGACATTACCGTCCTTGTCATATGTGTAGTGTGATCTCAAAATGCTCTACTATCAGCACGCTCAATGAGCGCATCTAAGGGAACATTTTCACAATAAGCTGGTGATTGAAGTTCGACGAGGCTACGTTGTAGTTTTGAGTAGTTGTACATGGTAAAGCAAACGACTGTTATTATACTTTGAATTACTACTCGCCATATTCAATACATGTGCGCAATCGCTCAAAGGATGCATCGCCAGGTGTACACAGACAGACATGGCACGCGCCATCACTGCTCTCGGGCTTCAAAGTCCTCAGATCTCCTGGGGTATTCTTCTGAGGGCTGTGGCGCAATATTCTCAACTTCGGCTTTAGCTTCTTCCCAAGCCGCCTTGTTTCGTTTCGCCCAATC